TAATGTAGCCAATCCTCCAAGAGCTTCCAGTAGCTCCTGTAAGAAGAGCTCTGTAAGCTCTTGGAGGATTGGGTACATTAGGGGTGTGTGGCCTAATATGCAAAGGAGTTCCTGCTACAAAAAGAGCCCTGTTGCTAGTTAGCTTGTTTGCAAATTTACGGCATGCACCGGCAATCATGGGCAACCCCATTCGTCATGTCATGATACTTGTGCTGGGAGCAGGGCCACCCCCACCCAGTAGACAAATCAGACAGGGATTTATGGAGCTCCCAAATCAAGCCAGAAACCATCGAGTGTATGTTACTACTGTTTCTGTCCCTATGCTCATGCCCACACCCAGATTCCAGACCGCATCCTTGAACCACAGAAGTGTCTCTCCTTGATGGTAGCCAAACCCATAGTCACGGACTCCAGCGCCTCCTTCTAAGGAACTACGAGCCCTACACTTTGTCGGGGGAGGGCAGGGTTGAGCCACAACACAGCAGAAGGTTTTTGGCGCAGCAGTCGTAACTAGGCACAAGTTGTTACGTGCAGACAGGGCTTTCTTTCTTGCAAGAGCACGTAACGTTTTAATCCTCGCTGCAGTCAGGAAACAGCTGAGGAAACATTTTGCTGATTCATTGTTGTTGGAATTGCAAGTTGCTTACACTTCAGTCATTACAGAGTTAAATGTTGTTTGTTAGGAAACAGGATGTTACGTTACATAATGTATTCAACGGCGGGAAAGTTTGTGGGGGTTGTTTATCCTAATGAAGTGAAATGCTTTGATCTAGCATTAATGTATTCACAAGTTTATGGCCCTTTGTGTGAACCAAAGAGGTAGTTCTCTCCTAGAAGCCAAGACAGATAGAAAGATGTAGCTGTTAGCATATATTACTGAGAGTAACTGCAAGTATGTAACTTTTATTTTATTGCTTTTATCCAAAGTACCATACCTATGTTTTATTTTGTTTTTATAGTAAAGATATTTTTCTTTTACTAAGTGTGGCTCTTGTGTTTGCAATACGACCATCGACCTTGAATTAAGAATCCCAACAATTGGGCTCTGCCGTGGCCCCTAGTCTTTTTGCCCCGGCAAGGAAAATGACGACAGCTGGCCTTACTTCGCCCTCACCTTGATGGCCCAGGCTAGCCTGATCTCATCAGATCTCAGAAGCTAAGCAGGTTTGGCCCTGGTTAGTACTTGGATGGGAGACCACCAATGTTCCCTCTAAGCTGTGGAGTCTCATGAGCAAAAATTCTACTTTGTGAGCTACTGGCATTAAAGTTGTGAGCAAGAGATTTGGCTCCTGCATAAATCAGTTTGCTCTGGAGCCGTCCCTTCCTGAGCCAAGACAAAAATGTGTGAGCCGGAGGCTAAAAAACTATGAGCTAGCTCACACTAACTCAGCTTAGAGGGAACACTGGAGACCACCCAGGAAGTCCAGGGTCGTGACACCTCTGAACGTCTCTTGCCCTGAAAAGCTCTCCAGGGTCACCGTAAGTCAGCTGTCACTTGACAGCACTTTCCACCACCGCAGCCTTACTTTTCCATGTGAATCCCAATCCTCCTCCTACCATTTTTGCCCCGTAGTTCTCCATTTCAGCCTCTAGCCAACTGAAAGGCAAGACTGACCCCACCCCACCAAGTGCCTGGCCGGTCTCCGGCAGCAGCAAGGGCAGTCGCAGGGACATGCCTCCAAGATGGTGCCGGTCACGCTCACGGCACGCAGCCTTCCTAAAGAGATTTTTTTGTAATATATATATATATTTATTTTAGAAAGTTAATAGGGGTACAGGAACAAAGGGAAATATTGCATAAGAAAGAAATAATTAAATAGAAATATTTATATTTATCAAGGACAATTCATGTCACGTTTGGTGCATGAAACAAGATTAGGGTGTATTTCAAGATAAGAACATAAGAGACGCCAATGTTGGATCAGGCCAAAGGCCCATCCAGTCCAACACTCTCTGTCACACAGTGGCCAAAAATACCAGGTGCCATCAGGAGGTCCACCAGTGGGGCCAGGACATTAGAAGCCCTCCCACTGTTGACCCCCCCCAAACACCAAGAAGACAGAGCATCACTTGCCCCAGAGCCCCTATCTATAAAGGTAAAGGCTCCCTTGCTCAAAAGCCAGTCGAATCCGACTCTAGGGTTGCAGTGCTCATCTCCGTTTCCAAGCCAAAGAGCCATCGCTGTCCGAAGACGTTTCCATGGTCATGTGGCCGGCATGACTAAACACCAAGGCGCACAGAACGCTGTTACCTTCCCACCGAAGTGGTACCTATTTATCTACTTGCAATTTCTTGCTTTCGAACTGCTAGGTTGGCAGGAGTATCCCTGTATCACTGCAACCCTGACCTGGATAGCCCAGACAAACCTGATTTCGTCAGATCTCGGAAGCTAAGCAGGGTTAACTCTGGAAACTATTTGGATGGGAGACCACCTTGAAATACCAGCAGTTGGGAGGCGAAAGCAGGCTTAATTCAGCCACCTCCAGGCCCCCAGTAGGAGTCAGTCACTAGAAGTCACCAGGTGCACACACACACACAGAGTAAGTCACCAGAGGTCGCCATGACTTCCAGGTGCGCACACACACTCACACACTCTTGCACATATGAAAGATACCAAATACAAAAAAAAAAAGATGTTTCACGTCTCAACTCCCCTCTTCCACTTTTTAACATAAGAATTATGGTTTCAGAAAGGGAAAGAAAGACACGTTTAAATAAAAAATAATATATATTTGGGGGGGTTGTGTCTCCCTAAAGGGATCGTCAGGCAATTGTCCTCAGACTGCGTCACAAGAAACTCTGGCTTCTTAGAGGAGCTCTTCAATGAGAGCTCAGTCAGAGCAGATTAGTATCCCTGCAATGCGCAGCTGCTTGAGAACGTTGTAAGTGGGAGGCAGGTTCTCTTGAAGAGGTCAGATTACGGAAACAACAAACACTCAAAGCAAAATTTAATTTAAAGGTCCTTCGTTACCTGGGAAACTGGAGCAGCTGAGTCCAAAGGAGTGGTTGGTGTCTTCCTGGTAAGTTCTGTGTCCTTGTTAGGCTTGGATCGGAACCACCGGAACCAGCCAAAACTGGAAGCCTGGAAGAATACCAAGCGTTGGGTGAAGCGATGATTTGGTTTTTAATTTTTAATGTGTGCTAATCAATGGGCACGAAGAAGAAGAAGAGATTGGATTTATACCCCGCCCTTCAGAGCATCTTACAAAGTCCTTTCCCTTCCCCTCCCCACAACAGACATCCTGTGAGGTAGGTGGGGCTGAGAGAGCTCTGACAGGAACTGCTCTTTTTTCAAGAACAGCTCTTATCAGAGCTACGGCTTGCCCAAGATCATCCAGCCAGGTGCAAGTGGAGGAGTGGGGAATCAAACCCGGTTCTCCCAGATTAGAGTCCACACACTTAACCACTACACCAAACTGCACCAAACCACTATACCAAACTTAAAGATGGCAGTGAAAACAGGAAGGCACAGAAGTCTACAATAAACATTCCTGGTTTTGTAGGCGGTGCAAGAGGCTTGGTCTCGGTCTCAACTGTTTGAGCCCTTAGAAATGTTGAGATAGTAAATTACTTGTGCTTAAATTGTAAACTGTGAAATTCAGGTGGATGAAATCTGTGGACCTGCAATAACCCCAGGCATCCGAAAGTTAAATTAAATCCTATGCGTGGCTCCCAAACTAAGACGACATGAGGAAAAAGAACCATGCTGGCCATCAGATGCCCTTCTCTGTAGGAGGCCTCACCTTCGCATGCTCTTGCCCAGCATCCTCCACTTCGGACTCCTCTGAAATGGCTTCCTCCACTGTATCTTCTGAGAACTGTGAGGTATCCTCCACCATTGATATGCTTGAACTCTCAGAGATGGACCGGTGCCGGGTATTTAATGTGTTCTGGCATCAAAAATACAACACGAACATTAGAGAGGCAGAGGGGAACCCAGTCCACAGCAACAACCAATCAAGAGGATATTATTTGCAGGTTTGTTCTCCAGCCATGTCCATGAGGCCCAGGACAGGTTAAACCTTTCCTGAAGAATGCTCATGCCCAGTATGAGCCCATGTGGCAGATTTGCCCAGCATAGCAATGACTTTAGGTCCTTCCAAATCCCAGCAAGGGTACATTCTGCTACTGCACACTTGCAGGCTTTTTTCTGTGGTTGGACCCATGCTGTGCAACAGCCTCCACAAGCAGTGTTCCCTCTAAGCTGACTTAGTGTGAGCTAGCTCGCAGTTTTTTTTAGCTTCTGGCGCACACATTTTTGTCTTAGCTCCACAGTAAAACTAATTTATGCAGCAGTCAAATCGCTCGCTCACAACTTTAATGCCAGCAGCTCACAAAGTAGAATTTTTGCTCACAAGACTCCACAGCTTAGAGGGAGCATTGCCCACAAGGAAATTTAAAAATCTCTCTTGCAGTTTGAAGGGCTTGCAGAACAGAATCTTTCTGGTCCCTCTACGTGATCTCTTTGCGGGGGTCTTGAAAGACCGTGATCCCTGATGGATTTTATTTTTCACATTTTTCTGCTGGTTGTCTTAATTCTGTTGTTTTTAGAATTACTGCGTGCTCATTTTATTGTTTTGGAAGTTATGTGGCAGAAAGGTGGGCTTACAAAAGTTTTAAATGACCTATACACATGTCATCACAAGAGTCCCACGAGGAAAATCCATATAATTTCTGTTCCACTGGTAGAGAAAGGTTAAAACTGAGAAATGTTGGCCTGCCCAAGGTTACCTAGAAAGTTTACGACAGAGAAAGAAGATGAATCCAGTTTCCCACATCAAATTTAATGGCAGAACCACTATATTTTATAAAAGTTTTGTGAGCCACTGTTAGACCCCAACAAAAAGGCAGGATACAAATTAAACCAATAAAGAAATGATTGAATATGTCACTGGACTGACAAAGAGCTTAGGACTCTTTAGCTTAAAAAGAAGGCCATGTGTCAAGGAGGACCACAAAGGGCACAATTCTAGCAGGTCTACTTGGAAATAAATCCCATTTTATTCAATGGGGAGTAATGTCATGAAAATGTTGAAGCCGTAGTCAATTTGGACAAAGAGTTCAGACTTCCTCTCCTTCATAATGTACTAGAACAAGAGGGGGAGTTGCAGGAGGACAAGAAGGAGGAGGAAGAAGGAGGAGGAGGAGGAGGAGCAGTTGGATTTACAGCCCACCCTTCACATGGAGTCTCAGAGTGGCTTACAATCTCCTTCCCTCCTTCTCCCAACAACAGACACCCTGTGAGGTAGGTGGAGCTGAGAGAGCTCTTGAGAGAACAGTTCTCAGAGAACTTTGACTGACCCAAGGTCACCCAGCAGCTGCATGTGGAGGAGTGGGGGAATCAAACCCGGTTCTTCCAGATTAGAGTCTGCCGCTCTTAACCACTACACCAAACTGTACCAAACTACAGCAAGAGCTATAGATGGTATTTTGCCAGATAGCTAGAGGAGGCCCCAGCAGGGAAAGGGCAGCAGTGGCTGAGGGAGGCCGCTTCATGTGTTCTGCATAGGACAGTTGCCCCTGTGGGAGGAGAAGGAGTGCTCCCTCAAAATAGAGGCCATTTGCCAACTTTATTCATTTTTAAAACATTCTTTTTGGGGATTCTTGTGCAAACCTGGGGTGGTAGATCTAACAAACCACATGCCAAGGTTCTGGTTATATGAAGAAGAAGAAGAGAAGAAGAGATTGGATTTATACCCCGCCCTTCACTTGGAGTCTCAGAGCGGCTTACAAACTCCTTTCCCTTCCCCTCCCCAGAACAGACACCCTGTGAGGTGGGTGGGGCTGAGAGAGCTCTGACAGAGACTGCTCTTTTTCAAGGACAGCTGTGCCAGAGCTTGTGACTGACCCAAGGTCACATCAGCAGGTGCAAGTGGAGGAGTGGGGAATCAAACCCGGTTCTCCCAGATTAGAGTCCGCGCACTTAGCCACTACACCAAGCTGGCTCCTGCCATTAGTCCTTTGCTTAGGGCAATATCAGGCCACTAACAACAGGATGGAATGGCCACCATCAAACTGGCTTCCGGTTGCTGAAATCAAATTTATCGGGGGGGGGGAGCTCCGATGAATTTTCTGCACCCTTCTAATTACGATGCTTCCACCACCACTCTTCCTCTCTCTCTCACCTGCTTTTCCATAGAGTTCTGTTCACTGCCGGTGTGGTACACTGCACCAGATACCTGAGCGCCCCCTACACGACAGAACAAAACAGGCTTAATGACACCATCTTAAGATCTGGACTTCAGCGTGGCAACTCTTCTCATGAAAGTTAAGAACGGGTCCAGTTCACCACCCAGACTGTGACCTGTGCCAAACTAGTAAGTTCCCCATGAGGGAGAAGGCGACAGGCATGGTTTATTACCTGCCACCACTAACCTGTTCCAGCAGGCGACAGCAGCCTCCTACAAGGGCCTGGGCAGCATATGCTCTCCCTCTCCGTTTGTGATGCTTTCCCTTGCAGCCAGGGGGAACACACACACACACTTGTGCTGCTGACAGGGTATACTTCGTCATGTGTCACACTCCCCCCCACTTGGGGTGGCAAAAGGAATAGAGCCTACCCCAGATAAGAAAGGCGCACTACTGGATCAGACCAAACATCCATCAAGGCCACATCCTACCTCCTATAGGGGACAATCACCAGTTGTCCCCAAGAAGCCCACAGCCAGAACATGAAGGGAATAGCTCTACCTGCTGCTGCCCTTCAGGAACTGGCATTCAGAGTTATACTGCTCCTGGACATGTAGGTTCCATTTAGCTCTCATAAGTTCTCTACTGCTTCGCCTAGTCTCCTTTTAAAGTCATCGGAGCTAGTTACCCCTGACCTGGATAGCCCAAGCTACCCTGATCTCATCAGATCTCAGGAGCTAAACAGACTCAGCCCTGGTTAATACTTGGATGGGAGGCCACCAAGGAAGCCCAGGGTTACGACACAGAGGCAGGCACTGGCCAATCACCTCTGTTTGCCTCTGTCTTGACCTGGATGGCCCAGGCTAGGCTGATCTCATCACGCCACGGAAGCTAAGCAGGGTCAGCCCTGGTTAGTACTTGGATGGGAGACCACCAAAGAACTCCAGAGTTGTTATGCGGAGGCATCCTACCTCTGAATGTTTGCAAAGGCAAACTACCTCTGAATGTCTCTTGCCTTGAAATCCCCATGGGCACTGTTCCCTCTGAGCTGAGTGAAGGTGAGCTAGCTCAAGGTTTTTTAGCCTCCGGCTCACACATTTTTGTCTTAGCTCAGGAGGGATGGCTCCAGGCAGGGCTCTTTTTGTAGAAAAAGCCCAGCAGGAACGCATTAGCATAATAGGCCACGCCCAACAACAGAAACACATTAGCATATTAGGCCGCACCCCTGACAGCACAGCTCATTAGGACATTAGGCCGCACCCCCATGTTACCAGAAGTGTGGTTATCCAGCCACACCCACCTTTTGCTTGTTATTCTGTTTACCTTGTCTGTTGTCAAAATCCAGGGCTTTTTTGTAGCAGGAACTCCTTTGCATGTTAGGCCACACACCCCTAATGTAGCCAATCCTAATGAGTCTCTGCTGTTGGGTGTGGCCTATTATGCTAATGAGTTCCTGCTGGGTGTGGCCAACTCGGGAGCCAGCCGGAACTCCGTTCCTGTGTGATCCTGCCCCAAAATAGCCCTGCTCCAGAGCAAACTAGTTTATGCAGGAACCAAATCACTCACTCACAACTTTAATGCCAGTAGCTCACGAAATGGAATTTTTGCTCACAAGACTTCACAGCTTAGAGGGAACATTGCCCATGGGTCTCCATAAGTCAGCTGCAACTTGACAACTCACACACAAAAAAGCTAGATGATGTGACTTTACATCCTGTGGCCATGAATGCTGTTACCGGTAAGTTAACACCTGGTTGAATGCCTTAGAAATAGCCTCAGTACGATCAAAGCACCGGACAGGGATGTTGCTGGGCAGTACATTCAGGGCAACCAAAATAACATATCCATCCAGCACATATTTAACTTGTAGAACTCACTGCCACTGGATGTAGTGACAGCCGCTAGTATTGGTGGCTTGAAAGGGGAATTAGATGGATTCGTGGTACAGAAGCCTGTCAAATGGTCATTGGCCATGATAGTTAATATACCTCCGAGTACCAGTTATGGGGGTTGGGGGCAGAAACAGGTGGAGGTTTGGGCCTCTGTGCCCTTGCTTGTGGGCCCTTTGGGGGTCTATGGCTGGTCACTGTAGGAAATAAGGTCCTGGAATAAATGGACCGTTGGTCTGAGAGCAGGACTCTTGTAATGTTGTTACGCCGCCTCTTCCAAAGTGTGTTGACATGTTTCCACTGAGGCTGGAAGGGCTAACCACAAGCCCGCACCCTCAGACACACATACTGTCTCCCACTTGGCAGGATGCACCAAGATGGACTCTGTTCAAAAGAAGCATCTCGCCTTCTTTCAACTAGCGGTGTTTTAAGAATAGAGTTCCGAGAAGCAATAGCGCCATCTGCTGGCAGTTACAATGGGCTTATCACATTCTTTCTTTGTGGTCCCGCTTCTGTGCTTTTAATATCTGGTTGGTTGTGGTGGAAAGTGCCGTCCAGTCACAGGTGACTTAAGGAAACCCCGTAGGGTTTTGGAGGCAAAAGACGTTCAGAGGTAGTTTTGCCACTGCCTGCCTCCACATCACAGCCCTGGTATGCCTTGGAGGCCTCCCATTCAAACACCAGCCGGGGCCAACCCTGCTTAGCTTCCGAGATCTGATGAGATTGGGTTAGGCTCGGCTATCCAGGTCTCGGCTTAATATCAGGTCAATGTACAAATATGAAGCAGCTAAAGCTCCTCCCAGTCTTTTGTCCCCGATGCCTGGAAAAGTGTTGCTTCTTTCATTTCTGCATAATGCGCTGCCATTAAAACACAGAAGTGGGAGTCAGCTGAAACAACGGCATCCCGGATCAAAGAAATAATGACATCTTCCGAGCTCATCCAGCAATCCGGCTCAGCCTAATGCATTCCGAGAAGCCACAGAATGTTCACAAACACTTTTTCTTCCTCCTGAGCCACTCCCTTTAAGGCTGCAATTCTATGCGCATTCCCACTAAACACCAAGTAGGCCGGCATAAACTCAGGCCATAAATTCCCAGAAGTTAAAAATGCTATTGGTGTTGTACAAATGGCGCTGAAGGGACTGAATGGCTGGCGGAGGCAGCTTAATAGCAATTCCACAAGGACTAGAGGACTGAGGGAGAAATAAAGACGTCCAAACAAGGATCCTTTGTCCAGAGTGAGAGTTTGTCTCTGCAGTGCTATTTCAATAGGGGGGAAATTGCTAGGAAGCAGATTCAGTCCTTTAGCATAATGGAACGTTTGGTGCATTTCTGAATACAACATCATGTTTTATTCCTTTTCCGCGATAAAAGGCAGATTCTGCCCTTTTGTGTCTAGCGAGAAAAGGCCTTGAGTAAAATGGGAGATGCATAAGCACTTTAGGGGCTGTATGAAGCTTTTTACTACCCAGATTGGCACACGTTCCTCTTCAGACGGCCCTCCTTTCCCCTTCCCTGAATGGCTTTTTAATCATATATCTGCTGCATGCTCACAATAACAGCCCTTAGAAGTGTTCATATTCCATCACCATGTTTTACTTCCAAGTATACCAGTAAGGCTGTTTCTGTGTCTCTGTTCTCTGGGGGAACATGCAAAAATACACAGCGTATGGTATCAGGCATGTAAATCAGCTTCCTAAGAAGATTCACTTTCATTTTTTTAAAAAATTTCTACCATTGTGGTTAAAAAGATACGCTTGTATATATTAACATACACAAGCACCTATACTTTGTGCAAGACTCACATGAACGCATTAAACTGCTTTATACTGAGACAGACTTGCGATCTATCAAGATTTGTATTGTTTACTTCCTAAGAATATTCACTTTCATTTTTAAAAAAAGTCTCCGCCCTTATGGTTAAAAAGATATGCTTGTATGTATTAACATACACAAGGACCTATACTTTGTGCAAGACTCACATGAACACATTAAATTGCTTTATACTGAGACAGACTCTTTATCTATTAAGATTTGTATTGTTTACTCTGATTAGCAGCGGCTCTCTGGGGTCTTGAGCTGTATTCCCTCTAAGCTGAGTTAGTGTGAGCTAGCTCACAGTTTTTTAGCCTCCAGCTCACACATTTTTGTCTTAGCTCAGGAAGGATGGCTCCAGAGCAAACTAATTTATGCAGTAGCCAAATCGCTTGCTCACAAATTTAATGCCAGTAGCTCACAAGGTAGAAATTTTGCTCACAAGACTCCACAACTTAGAAGGATCATTGGTCTTGAGTCAAGGTCTTTCACATCACCTACTCACCTGATCCTTTAACTAGAGATACCGGAGATCGAACATGAAACCTTCTGTACCTAAGGCAGATACTCTGCCATTGAACCATGGCCCCACCTAGAGTTTTCAACTCTGATTTGGTACATTCTTGGGGGGGACAGGTATTCCACATATATTCCTTTTCTTTACAGTCAACCCATTCTGCACATTTTATTCCTTGTTCTCATACCATTTGCCATCTAGAACCAGGCCCATCCCCTTTTCTGTTCTGAATTCTGGCAGGATTTCTTGACCTTTTTTCGTCTGTAGAAATTTGGCAAATGAAATTTTCCCATGTTAAGAAACCTGCATCTGACACACAACAGCTCTTAAACTGAGCAGAACAGAAGGGTGCCAGGCCTTTCCATAATCCTTTGTAGATGAAAGTAAAACCCTACAAGACTCGAAATGTGCATGGATTTTATTAAATAAAAATGGATCTCTTCCCCCAATCTAGCCTGCATTAATAACAGTCCCAACTGACACACAGCAGACTAAAATATCACTGTTGATAATATTCTACATCGCTTGTTCATAGAATCATAGAGTTGGAAGGTACCTCCAGGGTCATCTAGTCCAACCCCCTGCACCATGCAGGAAATTCACAAATACTTCCCCCTCACACCCCCAAGGACCACTGTTCCACACCAAGAAGATGACAAAAAACCTCCAGGATCCCCAGCCAAACCGGCCTGGAGAAAAATTGCTTCCCAAAGTGGTGATCAGCATTTCCCTGGGCATGCAAGAAAGGGCCACAAGAACTAAGCACTGGTGCAACCCTTCCTGCCCTCCCTCTCGTGACCTGCCCAAGTTCACAGAATCCGCATTGGTCAGGTGGCCATC